ATATTGGTGTTAATGAGAGTTTAATGACCATAATGAAAGAAATTTGGACACAAATGAATGTTTGTTTTCTGTAAATGAACAGCAAAAGGTGTAAATATATTAACATGTCAAGCCACATTATTTTTTTTTTATTTAGTCGCTAAAGTTTTCGGAGTTTTAAAGTGTTTATCTATAGCCAGCCTGTTCTATTTCTCTCTTTGCCACTTTTTTTTTTTTTTTTTTTTTCAAGGCCCCACACCAATGGACATTACCCATTATACCCCCAGTTAATTATTCTATTTCAATGTAAAACAAAGGTAATTAATCATTAAAATTTCAGTTAACCGTAACGGGAAAGAAATCAACCGTTAGCCGTAAAAAGGCCAAAAATTTAACCGTTAACCGTAAAAGCCACTGACCCATTGAGACCCTCTTAATAACCTTTCGCAAAGTGGCGCATTTGCTATCAAGTCTAAGAGCGTTCAATATGTTGGACGTCAACACTTTCAAGTTTCATCCAACGCCATAATCATCAAGACAGCGGTTATAGCCTTGGTGAGTGCTTTGTATTCATTTTTCATTTTAAACGTCCGTATGCATGTTTCCGACCCATCAAATTACAAGCGCGTTAAACTTGTAATGTAATCCTTAGATTCACTCTAATCATTTTTAGTTAATGAGGGAGATTTTCTTTAATAATCGAAAACGCAAGTAAATAAAAATGATATTCAGATATAAACATATTTTCAAGTCATGTTCTTCCCTTTTTTGCGTGGGAATAACGTTATTTATAATGGGTACAGCGACAATTTATTAGCCTTAACATGGAGAATTCACACAGAGATTTATTTTTAAGTTCAAAGATTAAGATGATAATGATAAGAAATTGGCTTAGAATGGCAAGTCCTCTGGATAATTTGGAATGTACACTTATCGACTTACTGTTCTATACGAGCTTACAAATGTTCCCTCCAAATAATTGGATCACGCATGATCAGTTTGTCGGGTAAAATCATGTCATAAGGCTTTATTAAGATTTTTGCTAATTGTTAAGCACATTTTTGGATGAAATTTTTTTATTCTTACTTTGATCTGAAATAAGCACCATACAATGCACTTTGAGTGTGTATAGTAGTTCCGCTAAGCGTCATTTAGCGTCATTTCAACAGTCGTTTTCTATAGGTTATGATCTCTGTTCGTTGGAGAGATTTGTAAGGAACACAATATAAGCATAAGAAACGTCATCATCATTATGCTCATCATCAACAAAAACAACAACAACAACGACACTGACAAATTTGGATTTCGGTAATGAATGGAAAAAATGCACTCAGTACCTCTTGGACATGTAGTTGTCAAAATGAGCTTTTGCTAGCTGGCTATCTACAACACAATTATGAGGCTCTTAAATGACTCTTAATGGACCCTTAGGCCAAATCTTTGCTTTCTCCGCCTGACAATAGGACACATATTGTCACACCAGTGCGATGAAATATAAGCGACTTAAACTGCGCACACAATTGAAAACAAATTGGCCCTCAAGGTTTATACCATAAGGAAGTTCTTAAAGTTAATTAACCAAGCATAAATTACAGTTTCCATAGCTTGATACACTAAAAGCAAAACATGCAATCAGGCGGTTGTTGAGATGGTTCCTAAAACTGCAACTGCCTTATCGTGTTTATACTGCCGTTGTGAATCCTGTTATTGGTTCTAACGGCACTAGATGCAGTTTCGGACTCGTTAAAGACGCGTACACGATGTCCACTCAAGATGTAACCGCAAACATTCATGTTCTGGTCATATACACTGTAAATGATTGGATTGATTGCTTCGTTAATAAGTGTTCCAAAAAAGGAAACTTCATACAGCGTATGGCCATGATGTACACTTTCTGTGCCGGAGGCAATTCTCCAAATACTCAAGACAAATGTCGGGGACCAGCAGATAATAAAAGCCACCATGATCAAGCAGGCTGTTTTCGTGACTCGCCTTCTGCTTCGTCGAAGAGCAATTCGTGCAGTGGCTCCATGTGCCGACCCTGAAACAGGAGGTTGCCTTCCAAGTGTTATCCTGATGACCTGGTAATAACACCAGCATATGACACAGAAAGGAAATAGGTACGCCACGCCAAACTCAACAGCTTCGTAAAATTTGTCGAGCCATGGCAGTGGAATGGCAAGTGGCGTGCACATTTGGTAGAAATTGAACTGGACAACTTGAAACATGTACAGATATGGAGTGGCCACCAAGGCAGGAACTCCCCATGACAGCGCTATCAGCCGCCTAACGAGTCTTGGTTTGAGTTTGGGGAGATGGGGATGAACCAAACATCGATATCGATCAACTGCGATAAGTGTATGAAACATTGCGGCTGTACCGGACGCCGAGATTTGGACGAAAGCGACGATTTTACAAAGGGCTGTTCCGAATATCCATGTACCGGCGAGTCGCCGTATGAATTCAAGAGGGCAAAGCAATATACCGACGACAAGATCCGACAGGACCAGGTTCAAAATAAACTGGTAAGTCGGCCGGTTTTGAAGAAGTACTTTCCAACGCTTAATCAAAACGTAGGCGACAGTGACATTACCCAGGATAGCAAGGAGAGTTGTCACTCCTACTGTAAAAACATTTGCGATGTGATAAGTTGCATCTACCATATTTAATCTCAATTCAGCGTCACTGAAGTGAGCATTATTCGCTGCAATGATAAACAAAATGATAAATGAATTTCAGCCGTGCTTGCTCTACACTCATTATGCATAACAGGGTCATGTGACTGATTTGTTTACAAGCGGGATGACAGGAGCACTTTTCATGGACGTGACCAGGTTAAGTGAATGGCGCAAACAAAATGAAAAACTGTCGAAAGACATTCATGAATGGTTTGATAACTTTTTAATTGCCATATCGTCGGTGGAAGACAAGCAACATGATTTGTGACTTTGAACATTCAACTTTCACTATTAAGATGATAGCTGACACTTATCGTGTTCTAAATGTAGAACTTACGAAAGAGAATATGGCTAGAGAAAGTACGTTAATAGGCAAAAATATAAAATACAAAATAGTTGACCTAAATGTATAAAATTGTATGTATTTTATCTGTAGTTCAAGCAATGTACGCCGCGCACCACGAAGTTATTAGCGTTTTAGCTAAGATGCTTGGTGCAGTGAATTTCTTTGTAATTAGTTCAAATTAACCTGATGGAACGGAAGGAAGGACCATAGCCTGGTGCTCGGCATATTGAAAAGGACGTTAAAACTATGCAGTTGTCATTATTATTGCGCTACCCAAATAAGCCGCGGCAAACTTCTTAAGGCATTAAAAAAAACATTAAAGAAAGTAATATCACAAAGCAAAAGAATTGTGCTCAATAAGATTGACTCAACAATTCACATTTAAATCAAACCTGTTAAATGAAAACTGAACTACGGAGCGACGCTTTGGCAAACAGTGTTTTAGGGGAGATTTATCCACACCCAAAAAGGAGTTTATGTGTCGTGTTGAAGCTCTTGAGTTCTTATTAATACATCAGTATATGAAGAGCAGTGTATCAGTTTGAAATCTTTCTTCTCCATGGTCAGTACGAATCCATGTCTGTAATTTGCAGTAAGTAAAATAGCGCTCAAGATGTTAGACCCAAACACTATCAAGTTTTATCTGTAGTAACGCCAGAATCGTCAAGAAAGTGGTTTTTAAATTCGACTACTTCAAACGTTGCATCATAACCACTTTTCAAACATTTACTATACCTTTGCCTAGGTTTTGGCCCCCACGCTCAGTGTTCTACCAGTTCTGTCTAGGTCGTAGTCTTGAGATCACAGTGTTCCTTGAGCTAATAAATCTATTACCGTAGTCAAAATCAAACGAACACAGGTGTATAGCGAGAAATTCATCCAATCCACGGCAAACTGTGCATGCCCATTTATAACCTTAGTGAGTGCGTTGTAGTCATATTTGCCATACATTAATGTATGCTTTTTTATTTTAACTGTTTGTATGTTTCCGGTTCATCGAATTACACGTGAGTTTAACTCTTAATGTAAGCTAATGTTATGCTTAGATTACAATAGATTTACTTAATCTTTTTAGTTCAAGATTTTCTTTAATTATTGACACTGGAAGTAAATAAAAATGATATTCTGATATTAAATATATTTTCAAGTCATGTTCTTTCCTTTTTTCGCGTGGGGCTAACGTTAGTTATAATGAGAACATCTAAAATTAGCTTTAACATGAAGACAGGGTTTTTTTTTCCTTTGGCTAAATTTGTAGTTTGAAAGTGTAAACGTGATACATTTCTGTGAACTTTAATAATGCCTTTTAAATCAGTGCTTCATCAGAACTTGACTTCGGAAGTACGCTGTAACTACTTTTTACAAGAATGGCGTTAAGGCTGGGAGCCGAATATAAATGAATTTATTAAATAATGTATTCGTTTCCACGTAACATACTTTTAATTGCTCGGTCGCATTAGCTTTTGGCTATTAACACTGACCAAGGGTAAAAAAGATTGCTTATTTTTTAAGCGTTTTCGAACAATATAATTCGTGAGAACGGTCGGCGTAAGTCGTTATGCGAATGAGAGCGAGAGAACGTGAGATTCGTCAGCAAGAGCGAGTAAGCAGGTGTTTCAGAGCAAAGGAATCGACTCAGTTTGATCTCCCGCTCGTGTTTTTTTCTTTTTCTTTTTTTTTTTTTTTTTCGCAGCCTTAACTTTATTTTTCGGACGAAGGCGATTAACGACGATTAAATAGTTATCATCGATTCGCATTGCCAACCAACAGATGACAAAACTGTGTTTGTACTTGTTGCGAAAAAGGTTTAGTTTTAAAGTACAATAAATATGGAAGCATTTGCTTACATCCTACTTTTTGTGCAAATATGAATTATGGATTATCAGCCGAGGCTTGTGCATACTTTTTATTTTTACCAAGGGTTAATTTCAAATTTTTGATGATATTTTTTCCTGTTATACATGTTTTACAAAACTATGATCCATCCGTAAATAACGCTTTCATCCGTTTTCTTTCTGGCTTTGCCTGCCAATATATGAAAGAAGAATAAATTGAACATTTTTTTGTCACCTGTTAATTTTAAAGTAGCTACAATTTTCTTTTCCGCGACGCTTTTTCGAAAACCACCGCTCCATCAACACTTAAATTCTCCCGTACGACGTGTCAAAATTTATCCAAGCTAACTTCATTTTCGTTTCAATTATAAATTTCTTAATTAAAGATACAACAGTTTTCTTCGTCAGTTTAACAAAGAGATTCCATGTTGCTGTGCGTCTCTTCTGTAATTGATCATAGAGGACTTCCAAATATGTTAAGAACACGAGTGTGTCACTGATATTCTTACCAAATTTTGACGTCTCCTGTGATCTGAACAGACGCACAACAACATGGAATCTACTAATTATTATATAATAATAAAAAAAACAAAAACTGTTGATGACGTCATCTACGAGTGAGGCCTCCAAGTGCTTATGAGTAAAAGCCAATTAAAGAGGAAAAATAATTTGACATATTTTGTAAAAAGTGTTTAATTGACTCTTTGGAGTCCGTATGCTACCAAAGTCGAGTTAAGAAAGTAGCTCAATTGGATATATGGACCAAGGGGCATTCCGGGACTATACTGCAACTGAAGCTAACACAACGGGAGTTGAATTTGTTTACAATATTTCAATCTGGCCAGATCAGCCTTGTGTGGCTCTAGATGTTACTAAACTACAGAATAAAACTTCAATACTAGATAGCGCTATGTCTAATGTCATTTTTGCTCGTTTCGTGCAGTGTTATATCGGGCTTCCAGGGCTGGTCATCCTGTAGAGTCTCATCAAATGCTCTTCTTTACTAAACTTCGAGCCGTCCATAACATGCTCCAATTGCTTGAAAACAGCATGAAATAGGGTAATAATCCACCTTGGAATGAGAACCCGAGAATTGATTTATTACTTACTACTTATTACAGATCAGTTGGAATATTTCGATTACTGAAGTAAGATTGACTTAAATCACTGAAGAGAAACCCAGATAGTGTTTTAGTGCCTGAACAGCGTTGTTTGCAGTGGGTTTTCGCCTTGATAAAAAAAAAAATAATAATAAAATTAAAAAAAAAATAAATTTTCGATAGAAAAATGACGAGAGAAAGGTAGCAAACAATATTCTTTAAAGGCAACAACAAGCAGAAGCATGAAGAACTACGACCTTTGAAAGTAAATAGCGATTTTATACCTGACTAAGTTTATATGAGTAACTTACATTCTTTATTTTATGTTGCTGTGAAACCAACTAAAGCAAAAAGTTTTGACAATTTTACATTTAAATCCGCTGCTACTGGAGAGTGACAGAAAATATCACTCGAATTTGCATAAGCTGAAGTTATATTGCTTGTTCACCTCTTTCGATTCTGATTGCAATAATGGGTGCATTCAGGTTTTAATTGCACATGGAAAATTAGTGCCGGTCTACCTGCAAACGAGCGGCTATTCATGTACAGATTGAAAAGGAACTATTTATATTTCTGAAAGGACTGCATTAAAAGTTTCTTTACCTCTTAACATAAGGCTCCGTTCTTTGAATAAGCTGTTCTTCGACGTTAATTTTCATTGTCTCATCTTTTCTGGAATTATGTCCCATAAATTTGGATTATCGTCAGTATAACTTTTATGATGATCAATATCGTTTCCTTGGCATCGAAGGCAGGGTTCTAAAAGCTACATGCACAAGTCAGAACGGTTTTCTTATATCACTCGTGCTATATGTATCTCTGAGGGCCCTTAATTAAATTTATTTACCCTTCTTCTCAGCGTGTCTATTTAAGAGATCATTTGCATTTCCTTACTGTCATACTGCGGGTATTGTCAATGAAAGTCGACAAGCAAGTTAACTACTCTCTAGTTTTTTTTATGTGGACTGATTTCACTTAGTTTTTCTTTTTTGTTCCAAAAATTGTCTCATCATTGGACGGCTGTGTAATCCATCTATGGAAATCAGGCTGAGAACAGGTTTAGTTTCTCAGCCGTTCAGGAAGTTAAAGTCATTAAATACATGAAATTCGAAAAAAAATCAAAATGCAAGACTAGGCAAATTAGCTCTAGCATATTCAACCTTAACTGAAAAAAGTACGTATTAAATTTTTGTAGATGCCAAAGTCTTGTTCTTAGTCGCTAAATGTAGAATTAAACGTATAAATGATTGATATCAAATTGTAACTCCCGTTCAGTGCCACTGAATAATGAATTGATTATGCCGTATTTTTTGCCTCCATGTTAACTGATATCAAACCAACACTAACATTATTTTGCGACTGTAGATTTCATGGTTGTACCCTTTCGACTATTGCCATTTCCCCGCTTTGTGCGGTGTTCATCCATGCTGAATGGTCATTCGGCGTGTTACTTGGCAAAGTTTCCTGGAGATTTCTGATGTCCACTTGATTCAGTATGTATTCATCTGCGGTGTAATTTGTTTGATTAGCGTTCTGGCTGGACCCTCCACTTTCCGTAAGATGTGGGCAAATTATGCGAAGGCCAATACGAGCTTTTAAATTTCTATCGAATGCGCAATAGATGATAGGATTAATCGCCTCGTTGATGAAAGCCCCAAACATAGCAATTTCGTGTAGAAGATGTCCTCGGTGAACGCTTTCTGTGCCGGAAACAATCCGAACAAAACTCAGAACAAATGTCGGGAGCCAGCATACGATAAATGTTACTGCAACCAAAGCAGAGGTGCGTGTTACACGCCGCTTGGTCTGCCAGATAACGGAAAGCGGCGTATTAGGGACGTGTGCTGCTACCACAAGAGGGCTTCTCCCCTGCATTATTAAAGTCACATGAAAATAACACCAACATAACACCAGGAATGGGATAAAAAACACAGCAAGGAACTCGACTGCCTCGTATAGCTTGTCCAACCAATTGATTGGAATTGCTAACGGAGTGCAGATTATCTTAGAATTGATCTCTTGCACCGTAAACATGTACAGATAAGGAAGAGACAACATGGGTGGAACAACCCACGATAAAGCTATCATTCGCCTGACAAGTCTTCCTTCCATCTTCGGTAAATAAGGATGAGCCAGGCTGCGATATCGGTCAAAAGCAATCAACGCGTGAGTACAAACCGCCGTGCCCGATACAGCAATTTCAATGAACTCGATTACCTTGCACAGCGCTATTCCGGAGATCCACTCGTCCAGAAGTTCTCGGGTAAATTCAAAAGGAATCGTGAAGAGGCCAACAACAAGATCAGAAAGCACTATGTTCAGAATGAATTGATACGTTGGGCGATTTTTAAGAAGCTCTTTTCGGTATTTTGTCAGCATGTAGAATACTACTCCATTTCCAAAGACAGAAACGAGAAATATTACAGCAAGAAATACAGCCTTCATGATATCTGTAGGTGAGAATGCCATGTCTACGACTGCATCTCTACGTGCAAGAAACAAACATTGTGAACTTATGTAGTGGACGAAGGTGTTAATCCACGAAATAGATTGACTACATCGCAAAACATTACACCTGCCTGCAAATTTATGACAAGTACTTTATATCAGAAAAACATTGCAATATTTTGTATAACCTTAAAATTTTTCTGCCTACTTATGACGCAGGAAATTAATAATTGAAAAAGGAAACGAAAAAAATATGTGGAAATAAAGGAAAATTTCCAAATATATGATGATTTCACTGAATGGAAACAGCCATTAATGGGTACACAATTTTCCTTAACCATTAGTGGCTATAACTCTTACGTCTCCTTCCGAAATGAATTTGCATGAAAAAGGCTCGAAGTGTTTATTACCGTCCGTTGAAGAAATATGTCACGTATTTTGAGGATTTCTCAATTGTTCGTCTCGAAAAAAAAAATTGTTGTTTAAATAAGCAAGATTGTGGCACTCATTACTCGAAAATTGTCAATGCTTTTCTTATGACAGTGATGGGAACAAATGGTCATAAAATCACATGCCACGGCTATCTACAAAGTGGCGTATACTGTCGATTAGACTGTGCACTAAGCTTACTTTAAAATGATCAGCTTTTTTTATTCAAAAATCAACTTCCAAAGAAATAGAACTGTTTTCGCAAGTTAAGAATTCTTGCCAAACGTCCAAATAAAGTGAACAGCCCTCCAGGCTTGATACACCTTTCCTTGACCCTGCTTTTCTGTAATTGGTTATATTTTGGAGCGGCTTGGTATTAGGAACGCAGGCACACTTTGGTACAGCCGACGGTGCAGCGATCGCAAACGGAAGCTTACGTTCAAATGACCTAGGTCATATTTTCCATAACCCCATTGTAAGCTGTCTACGCTTATTTATGTTTTACTAAAAGACACGGTTTAGCTGGTCGACGTTTTCATTTTAAGCGGACACAAACTTAGTTGCGGTTAAAGGTTGATTTAATTGAAGTTTTCTGGTAAAGCACCTGTCAACAGGTGCAATCTGTATCAACCAAATCAACTAAAGTTGTTTGGTTTTTTAATGTAAAAGTGCAAAAACTCAACAAATGCAACTAACCTGCGAATGATGAACGGTTCAGTCAACCGGCACTCCAACAGAAAACAGCTGCAAAGGTGCCCTACTAGCATGGGAACACGTTAACCAAATCAACCCAAAATGGTTGCGTCTGAGATGGTTGGTCTCAACCGAACGTGACTTTAAAGAAAGATAATGGTTGAGAAGGAACGAGACACGCGAGCTGTATTTAGAAAATTGATCTTTTGCTAAGATAGCGGTATTGCCACAGCTTTATTTATCGGGAAGTTGAACGGTCTCAAATCATGCTGCCCACGCAGCGACTGAGCTAATATCTTTCCTTCCTTGTTCTTAATATCCATTATTCGTATTTTGGTTAAGGCCGGAATTTGTTGGGTTCTAATGCGTCCAGACAGCAACGGCTCAGTCAAGCTTTTGTTAAATCTCTCTAGCTCCATCAAAATTACCTCCGATAATCATAAACTAGCACTGTAGTGGCTATTCTTAGCTTACCTATCGATAATTTGAACAACATATTATGTAAGCATCCTTGCGTTTCATCGTACTTGATCACAGGTTACGTCTTTGTCTGAGAGTCTTTGAGGCACGCAGTGACTAAGCTCAGCTCATCATAATTGTTTTGTCAACAGCCTCCGGTCGGAGTAAAGGTCAGGCGAGGTAGCAAAAGCCCTATTAGACTTTCAAAAAAGTCCGTGGTCTTGCTTATTCGCCGAACAAAGGAGTCCTCTTGCGACTTCGTCCCTCGCTCGGCCGCTTCATGACCTACAAACCACCGCTTCGGGAGTTCATCGGTAAATTTTATCACTTATTTCACGGTTATTCAAACAAAACGTGAACCGTGACCGATAATTTCTAAACTTTTAGTTACAACTAAATCGTCTTCAGAACTGGTAAGAGCATGCTTTTGCAATTGGTTGTCGCGTGACTGTTGATTGAATGTTGCAAAAATTAGAGGTTTTTTGTATGGAAGCGAGGAAGCTTTCCCCTCCAGAATTTGGTAACCCATCGATCTAAAAAAAGTTTGGTTGTCGCGTGACTGTCTGCACTTTGGTACGTCCGTATGTCCGTACGCCAAGCCCAATACTTTGAAAAAATACGAGAACAGCAATGGTGCTGTTCTCGTATCTTTCAAAGTATTGGGCTTGGCGTACGGACGTACGGACGTACCAAATTCTTTAAGGTTAGGGGCTCCTGCTATCTCATCTCTTCCAGGCGTCATCGTGATGTTTTCCTCAACGACTCTCTTTTTCAAATCACTTAGAAACTGTTTTTCTTTCCACCCTAGCCTAGTAATCGAGTCTTCTAGCATATACCACCGAAGTCCAGTCAAATATGTTATGTTATTTTATTGTCATGGTGATTTTCCAGCAATCACCAGGCAGGTTTTCCTTCATTTCACCCCAGAAATATTTAATTTTCAATCATTCAGCGGTGAAATAAATTGCATACCTACGGAATTTTATGGTTGACATGTTTTAACTGGAAACAGGAGCCATAATAGGGGACAGAGACCGTAAGTCTTGGGATCCGCGCGCACCTATGATATGAGACAATTTTTGTATTTTTAGAGCAAATTGCGCCATCCTGACGTCATATATCCGCGCGGATCCACGCACCTGTCGGGGGCTCTCGCGTGGATGTTGTTACGTTGCGTGATCAAATGGTGAGAGTTGCGAGATTCTTTTGCAGATTTTTCACAGTGATGGCAGGGAATAAGGCAGAGAATAAGAACCAGGGTTCTTATATGTAGTTTCATGCTCTGAGCTAATGGGAAAGGTGAGTTTTACAGGGTCGAAAACATGACTTCAATTTGGCGCTGTAAATGTAAAATATCTGCTCGCGCTACTGAATTGTACGAGTAAGATTTTGCGTTTGTTCTGTAAAGAAAAGTTATGCAAGAAAACTCTTTACTCTGGTATCGAGTTAATATTTGAGTTTCCCAAATAATGCTTAATCATAACCAAACCCTGTTTTTCATAGTTTCTCATTGATTCTGTTTGTTTGGCGAGTTTGCAAAAGTTTTTGAAAAGAAAGTCCGACGCCTACATAAGCTTAGTAGTCATTTGCATAGTGCAGCGCGTGCACTTTCAAATCCGAGTCGGTGCTTTCAATTGTCAACAAATCTTGACAACGATTACTTTCGTTGTCTTTTGTGCTGAGATGCTGCAACAATTTTCACCAACGCCAAAAGGCTACTAACATCGTGTGTATTTCTTTAACATAGTGAAATTTTACACTGCGAAAATATAATAGACAAGGCGTTGTGGTAACTCAACCAACGAAATCGAAATCGTTATTCGAGTTGATTAAAGAAAGCGTCATCGTAACTTTGCTGATTATTTCTGCTGTATTCACATTTTTTCAGCTAAGCTTTTATTATGTTCTTAAACATTTATCAACCTTAAACATATTTAAAAACTAGAGATATTATATGAGAACTTTCGATGTACGTTTTCACACGAAAGTGCGGAAGTCCAATTTGTCATGTTTTACTGACTGTGCAAAGCGCGCATCGGCGGGCGCTCTTATTCATCGACAACAGACAATTTTAGTATTGGATTTTTACACAAACAAAACTGAGCAGCATCTACAGACATAAACGTTACTGTCACTTATTGGACCTTGATAAAACATCAAGCGTTGCTTACAATTCAGGCGAAACTCAAGCTTGCAATTAATTATTATTATTATTTTTTTTTTTACTTTTCGGTCGAGATAAACTCTGGCGAAATCGTCGCAAGCGTGTGGCAAGAGGAGGGAAACTTTGAAGTCCTGAAACGGTGCTATATCCAAATATATCCAACTGTTTTGTTGCTGTGTTATGGAAAAGCTGTTAATCTTCAACATATGTGAAACTTAGAGTGGAGTAATGTGTCTCTTAATCAGTGATTAAGCGGGAAATATTTAAATTCGACACTGTCTTACTTCACTCAAACTGGAACAGCTTACGACGAAAATACTGAAGTAAAATTCCAACAAACATGAACATATTGAGTTGTGGGTCAAAAGCATCAAACATCTCGGGAATTTCGGACACCGTTTCCCCGCGCTACATCCGCTAAAATCCTCGCAGCATGATGGCGCAATTTGTTCTAAAAATAGCAAAATTGTCCCATATCATAGGGACAGCCCCAATACTAGAAATAGCGCGCGCTTACGGTCTCCGTCCCCGATTATGGCTCCTGCTGGAAAGTAATTTCTAATTAAATGTGACATTACATTATCTGATTTCGTGATTCACGATGGAAACTCCTTTTTGGAGTTCTATCGATTCTCTAACGCCCAGGTCAAACGCCGTACTTCACATGAGCCAAACCCAATTCAACCCATGAGGCTCATGTGAAGTTCGGCGTTTGACCCAGTTACGTTCGACTGATTTTATTTGGAGCGGCTGAGGCGTTCTTCACGCCTGGCCAGCCGTGAATAACGCCTGAAGACCGACTTTGGATCAAACGACGATCTTCACATGAGTCGAACCAAACGCATAATCAAAGGTCTAAAGGTGCCAATTTGACCTAACCTTGAAAAACCACTGGACAAGACCGCTTTTGTTATTTATTTGGTGTAGCAGATCGGTTCGACTGAATTAAGTTCGACGTTTGACTCAAATGGGGATACGCTCCGACCTGGTGGGCCACTTGGCTCGTATGCAGACTTTACCTACCTACCTTAACTCAAACAGGCGTTCTTTTAATTTGAGTCGATCCAAACTGTCATTGGGTTCGGCTCATGTGAAGTACGGCGTTTTGACCTGGGCCTAAGTTTCGCTTCGTTGTAATCCTGACCGACTTGACAAATTCACACGAGCCTGTTGCGCTGTACTAGACGACATCTAATCAACATTCGGGATTTGAAGGAATTCTCACATTGAATTTTAACATCGGAATTGAAAAGTATGTTGTGCAGTGAAACCCTGCCCTACGGTCACCTCGTTAATATGGTCACCTCATAATTATTACGCCCACAGTTTTTTGTCCCGGCGAAATTCCCATACATTTTCTCGAAACCCCGTTAATGCGGCCACGTACCCACTAATATGGCCAATGGCCGCATTCTGAAATCCCAACCTGTCTAATCCTTTACAATTTTACCCCGTTTATAGGGCCACTCCAACCAGTTCCAACCAGTTATGTTAATCTTTCTTATGTAGATATTGTATGAGCTGATTGAAGTTTCGGATGCTTATTAAAGAACAGTTGTTTATTAGAAGTGCAACTGTGATATACCTCTTAGCTTCTGTTAAGACTTCACTCAATTCAGACCAGTCATGAAATTTAACCCTACCCTGTTAATATAAAGCCACCCCATTACTACGGCCAAAGTTTGGCATCAAATGTCCATTTATAAATTTTCAACTTTCTTAACGGAGGAACTCTTAACTGAATTTGACTGAAAGCTTTAATTAGCATCTGGATAGAACCTGCTGGCCAATTAATTTCCTCGGAACATGTAAACTTCACTGCAGGTTTCAATGTAAATGCACGATTATCGAATGGAAAGTAGAAACACGAAAGTGTTTGTCTGTTTAAGTATTTACATCTAGAACTTTTTCCTTCTTTCCTTCACATGACTGGCTCTGTGAAAAAGTGATTTCTTTTTTCATGTTTTCAGAATCTTATTTGTTGAAGTTTCACTGGCCTGGATATATAAAGATGATTTATCATTTTTTTAATCAGCACATAACTATGATAACTTTTCATTAGTTTTCTATTTATCTACTGTAGCACTGTTTCCGCACAGCTGTAGCTTAATCCAAAAATCATTCAGTAAACCCTCCAAAACCGATAATCTATATGTGCTTAATTATTTTTTGGCTCCAGGTATCTATAAAACTCTAGTTCGTTCTTTGTATATAAGACTGTCATGGCGATTAAGAGGGATTATTTCATATTATGTCTCGTGCTTTCTATAGCAGGTGTTCATTATTTGTTAAATCGCATGAATACATTATTAAAAAAGTTTTCCCTGCCGGCACTGCTGGAGCTTTTGGGGTGACTCGCAGTACCGCCATATTGGGCAAAGACATGGCATTTTCACCAACAGATATCTCCAAAGCTGTTTTTCTTGCTCTAATATTTGTTGTTAGTGTCCTTGGAAACGGGTTAGTAGTGTACGTACTAACGAAATATCGAAAACAGCTTCTTAAAAATCGCCCAACGTATCAATTCATTCTGAACATAGTGCTTTCTGATCTTGTTGTTGGCCTCTTCACGATTCCTTTTGAATTTACCCGAGAACTTCTGGACGAGTGGATCTTCGGAATAGCGCTGTGCAAGATAATCGAGTTCATTGAAATTGCTGTATCGGGTACGGCGGTTTGTACTCACGCGTTGATTGCTTTTGACCGATATCGCAGCCTGGCTCGTCCTTATTTACCCAAGATGGAAGGAAGACTTGTCAGGCGAATGATAGCTTTATCGTGGGTTGTTCCACCCATGGTGTCACTTCCTTATCTGTACATGTTTGAGGTGCAAGTGATCGATTTCAGGATGATTTGTACTCCTGCAGCAATTCCAATCAATTGGTTGGACAAGCTATACGAGGCAGTAGAGTTCTTAGTTGTGTTTTTTATTCCATTCCTGGTGTTATGTTGGTGTTATTTTCATGTGGCTTTGATAATGTGGGGAAGAAGCCCTTTGGTGGTAGCGTTAAATTTCTCTTCTGCTCAGCAATCCTTTATTTGCCAGAACAGGAGGCGTGTAACACGCACTTCTGCTTTAGTTGCAGTAACATTCACCGTATGCTGGCTCCCGACATTTGTTCTGAGTTTTGTTCGGATTGTTTCCGGCACAGAAAGCGTTCACCGAGGACACGTTCTGCAAGAAATTGCTATGTTTGGGGCTTTCATCAACGAGGCGATTAACCCCATTATCTATTGCGCGTTCGATAGAAGTTTGAAAGCGAGAATTGGCCTGCAAAAACTTTGCGGCACAAACCTCTCTGACAGTGCAGGGTCTACCAATGTCGCTGATCCGACGCAAAACACTGTGACACTAAACGTCGCTGCTGATCAAAGCCGAAAGAGGATGGAATTCAGAAAACTTGATGTCAACTTAGAAGTGAGAAGGGGAGGCCATTTGCAGCAGCGTATGACTGCAACTATTTAATTGCAGTTATTATAAGCACCGAATTAATCACGATCAATGATATTTGGAAGCCACAGAGGTTCTTGAATGAAGTTTATGCGGTTAAGCAGAGCGTGAATTTCAGTCACTCTCATCTTAGAGCAAGCCTATTGGACTTAAATCCATATTATGTAAAAGTGTGTACTTTTACTACTAAAAATAGCAAGCTAATAGTTTTTGTTACAACGATCCGAGTTGGGCTTTGTCTACCGTTCGCTGTTTTTAATTGTAGCTAAGTTTTGTCAGTTGTTTTCCGATTGTCTTGAGGAAATAGTGGTTAATGACGCAACCAGATACTTTAGCAGAGGTAAAACAATAAGACGGTTGTATAGAATTGAATGCTCTCGGCAGCTGGAAGAAACCCTCCGCCGAGTATGTGTAATTACAAGTTTCCTTGACTGGCTAAAACGTTTAAAACTGAAAATCGACACCGCTGTAGTTGATAGGTAGGCAAACACATAAAATATTACAAGAGTCTGTAAAAATAATTTTGAACAGTAGCAAATGAGAATAATTGAAAGGAAACTTTATTGCGCCATTTATGGATGAAATGTTAATCAAGAAATGGTAATACTCAACCCATTCTCGACTTAATTCGTAGGACTTCGCTATTCACGTTTGGGTTCTCCGGCTGTGAGGGCTTCTTAATTGTCTGCACTTGAATACTCACTTAATTATGTTGAGGTATCTCTTGATTAGTTTTTTCCCCTTTGGTACGGTGAAAAAGCGCATTATTCATAAAGGCGAATAAGCAACAAAAAAACTGAAGGTTATGTAAATTTAGGAAATGTTTTCTGTTTGCCTTTGCATGACATAGCGGAAATTAACTATTTGCATAATTGTTTTCAGTAAGCTGTGCGCAATAAATTGGAAATGTTTGAATACCTCTATCATGTTCGTGTAAAAACACAGCTTAAATTCGTACAAATTAAATAGAATCATTTTACATGTTTCTATTTAATATCACCAGCACTTCTGCTATTTAATGGATCCTTCTCTTGGAAAGCAAATTGCCATTTTGCAACATTTCAGGAAGTTCAATATGTCCTTCTTGTTGAGGTGGTTACTGTTGAATAATTAATTTGGTAAGGTCTTGATGTAAAGTCATAGTTCACGTCAAAACGTGTTTTGAAAACTGCGTAAGACAGCCAAATAGAGGCTGTTTGTTGGCGAAGAATACTGTTGGCGTTTTAATTAACATTAAAAACGAAAGCAATAAAAAAGCGGAACCTTTTAAGGTAAAACGAAACAAGATAGGTTTACCTTTGCGTTTAGGTTTTTTCACCTGCTTTGAATAGTTAACAGTGGGAGTTTGGTGTTAGTCTGAATAGTCCGTTTTTACATATTTTATAATCAAAATTTTAAATTTCTAACACTTAATTATTTGTATTTGTAATAGAATCGAAACTCCTTTTCAGAGTGTGTGTGTGTTTTTTTTCGTTTTTTTTTTTTTTTTTTTTAACTTGACAGAGATTTGATAGTCAATCAAGTGGCCATGTCGGAAGAAGAAAGAGACAGAATCATCCAGGAGCACGAGAGAAACCTTGCTGAACTAGAAAGCAGGTACTGTTTCTTTGCAATCACTTGTGTTCACTCCATCTTTCCTTCAAAGGTTGAAGTTTTCAAGTTCAGGTTTCCTAATCCCTCTTTATCTGTATTCCACCCTAACCATTCCTGTTCCTCTTTGGCTCATTATAATACGTTAATTTTTCGGAATTCCCACCTTTAATTTGTCTTTATTTTTTTTCTGCAAAAAGATATCGATTGAATTGTTTTCCGCGCGCTTTTTTGTCCCGTAGTTGGCACTCGATCACGTAGGTGTCCTATTACAGGTATCTAAGTACAACTTTTTTTGTAATTTGATACTATCCCATTCGAAATCTCAAATCGGCCTCGGGCTGCGTGCTTGCCCGATTTTGAAATTACTTGGGGGTTGCCCCCTAAACTGTACTCCACTCCATCCAGTTACTATTACTTATCGTGGACTTCAATTTCTCGATCCGAAAATAGGGTAATTTTCAAGAAGTGAGCCCTGATTCTTTTTGTTCTTTTTCAAACTAGTCTCACTTTGAACAAGCTACGCCAACGGCAGATGCTGGAAGACAAACTGGCAGAGCGAAGGAAAAGAAGAATGCAGCAGTTAGAACAGAAGCAAATGAACGAAACGAAGGTATTGGCCGATACGCTTGGAGCGTTGACTTCGTAGCTGGCTTATGACATTTATAATTCGCACACGATTGGTCAAAATAGGTCA